AACTGATGGGTCTGGTGATTTTGGATGATGAAAAAGCACACACAGCCCTGGCCGGTGTGGTTCAGTGGTTAGAGGATCGGCCTGTGCACAGGACGGGCGAGAGTTGGATTCCCAGTCAAGGGCATGTGCCTGGGTTGCAGGTTCGATCCCTGATCCCGGTCAGGGCGCATGTGGGAGGCAGCCAATCGATGTGTGTCTCTCTCACATCAACATTTCTCTCTCTCTCCCTCTCTCTCTCTCTCTCTCTCTCTCTAAATCAGACGCCTCTCACTGAGCACACAGAAGTCAGAGAATTGGCCTTAAGTGGGACATGCTGTGTATGCGTCTCTCTCTCTCTCTCTCTCTCTCTCTCTCTAAATCAGACACCTCTCACTGAGCACACGGAAGTCAGAGAATCGGCCTTAAGTGGGACATGCTGTGTATGCATCACGCAGCCACAGCCGCAGAGGAAGTGGCGGCAGTGGAAGTGGACAACACTCAGGAAGCACACACCCCATGGGAAGAGCCGGCCCCTCCACCCGCAGACAAGGGGCCAGGTTGTCTATGACGCCCGGTCCCTCAGACACAGCCGCCGCCCGCTGATTGGCTTGCGTATCTGCCAGTCCCCCTCCGTGCTCTCTGCTGGTGTGGAGACGAAGTGCTCTGGTGGACAGCAGGTGTGCCAATCAATGACCTGTCTGGCCTGGTGGGTCGGACAGGGGAGGAGTGTCCTCACACAGACCCCCAGGGCACTTCCCCCCATTTCGGGCAACCGGGGTCAGGAGACAGTCCGCCCCCTGGGGGAGCCCAGGCCGCCTCGTTAGCGAGTCTTCGCGACACGGTGTGGGGCCTCGGCGATGCTCACTCACCTGCTCTTCCCCGAGGATCCTGAAGTGATGGAGCTCTTTGATCAAGGAGTCGGGGCAGCCGGCTGTTGGAGAGAGAAATCAGTGACAAACAGGAATCGGACAGGGTCGGCTCCAATTCTAAATGTTGGGTCATGTGGGACATGGTCTTCCTCTTTAAGCGACTGGATAGAGCCCCTGCTTATCATAGTATCTCATGCTCTGGGAGAGTAGCTCACAAGTAGGACCAGGTGATGGTCACCCCTGACAACAGACACTAAAATGAATGGACATCCTGAGGGAAGGGTTTTGGTGAAAAGCGTAAATTAATGGCTTCAGGCACGTCCGAGACTATGGAGACGAGAGCTCGATGCTTGACGTGAGAAGACCACTCGGCCGAGCTCCTCCCACGGAGGCCTGCGGGGCAGTGGCTCGGTTCAGAGTGGCAACTCAGGTGACCATCGGCTCAGTGAGGGGCGAGGTTCTGGGTCACTTGGTTGCCTGCGATTCAACCAAAGACGGCGGTGGAGACACAGCCTCACGTCGGTTCCTGAGGCTCAGCTGTCTTGGGGAGCAAGGAGTCACCTTTTAGGTTGTGACACGAATGAGATAAAAACAGGCAGAGAGGGTTCCAGTGTCTGGAGCATGGGAGTACCTGTGAGACGTGGGAGTACCTGTGAAATGGGGCCTGGGATGGCTGTTCTGCTGGTGTCCCAGAAATACCATTTATTCCCCCAACCCCCAAGATTTTAGAGGCCAATTTAGTTAAAGAAGCCCAGGATCCAACTAAATAACTGAGACTTGTTGTGACAGCATGCTGAGAGACAACAGGCTATAAGTACGTGCCTATGGAGATGGATGTATAAATGTATGTACAGGTGTGGGAGAAAGTAGCCTTACAGCTGTGAGTATATGAAAGGAGTTTATTCTTCAATTCTTATTTACTAATTGTTGTGTTATTTATTTGTATTATGCAAACCTACTTTTGCCCACCCCTGTATACTATATGCATTTATACATATCATCAGGTCATATATTCCCAGAAAAGTATGGATAATATACATTTAGGGCTTTAAGTTTGCTGTCTTTTTATTAACTTATTTATTCCTTTATTCACTACAGTAATCTAAAGTGATTAATAAGCAATCTGATATTTTTATTTGATTATCATAACGCTTTATGATATATTTTTACCATCAAACTAGCTGGAAGGTTGTTTTTTGTTTTTTTTGTTTGTTTGTTTTAAATCTCACTGGCCATTTCAAATTGCACCCTTTGGGGCAATAATGAAAATAACTTGAGCCAAGACCCCCAAACACATCCACTTATCCAAACATGCAAAAGGGAAACGAACTCAAATTTCGGGTTAAAGGGCCAGTTAGTCACCACTTCTCATGTCTTCTGCTCCGCCGCTGGGTCAGCCAGAGCACACAGAAGGGCATCGCTTGGGTACACAGTCAACAGAGGGATGCGCATGGCAAACCAGCTGCTGCCAAAAGCAAATATTCCACAAAGACGTCAAAGGGAAGAACTGATGAGGCGCGATTCCGTTTAACCAGGGCTGACCTGGTTTTCATTGGGGATTGGGGGGGCGGGAGGGGGATTGGAAGGGAGGAGAATGGGCTGTTTCCTACTTGCAGCCGCTCTGTCATACTCAAGGTGACTCACCTTGGTCACACAGGTTGTAAATGAACCAGCTGGCAGAGCTGAGTAAGCCACGTCCCACCTCGAAATTCTACCTCTAGATCCCATTTTGAAAAGTTAAAAAAAAATCCAAGTCTTTCTCTCTGGCGTCTCACAGATCCCGGCAGTGCCTCGGGGATGATGCTCAGGAAGTGTTTGTCCAAACACTTAGGGAAGGGGTCCTGGTTCTGTCCTCACTTTTCTTTAGTGTAAGTTCCTCCTGAAATCTTTTGTTCTGTCCTCTCTGACTTGGGAAATGTTCTCTTTGCCAGAAAAACAGGAGCCGGGGGCCTTGTCGCCTGCTAACACTGTGCTTTCTTCTTCCGAGAGGACCCTTCTCTTCCTGTTATTCCCTTATTTTATTTGTCCTTGCCCAGTTTTAAAAGCCTGTTTAGTTTCCTTTGGCCACTTAAATTAGAATTGCATCTCTCTCTGGACTTATCCTGACTACACACTATTCCATTGTTTTACCTCCCCTTCGCCCCCCAGTTATGAAGCGCCTTTCTCATCTTTTGTACTGGCTTCCTAAAATCCGAGCTCCCTGAAATAAAGGTAAGTTGCCTGTTTGGCATTAAAAGTGAATTAAAATGTTTATTTAAAAAAAAACCACACATGACGCCAGAATGGACTCTTATTTTTTTAAAGGGTAACTTTGAAGCTGGGATTATCTTTCGGGATCTGTAACCAACATGGGCTTTTATCCTGTTCCCTCGCCACGGAGACTGTCATGATCTAACTGGAACCTCCTCAGGAGAATGTGCTGCAAGTGGTGGGTCCTGCCCAGGAAGGCACCGAGAGAGACTAAACCCCACACCTCTGGGGGGTTCACTCAACCAACTTCTTCAGAAAGCTTTAGCGGAACTTTCCCAATAGCCTCCCTGTGAAGTAGGGGAGGCTCATTTGGAAAATAAATTCCAATAAAAAGCGTTAAAAACCACATGAGTCTTCAGTGACTATTTTTCCTTTTAATTTCCTGTCAAATCTTTACAGGGGCATGTGTGATGTCCTTGGGGTTCAACGGAACACCGTGAGCACCAGGCCTGGGGTGATCATGGCAACGGAGCTCAGCTCTCTGATGTGCTGCTGGGACTGGCGCATGACCCACGCAGTCACAGGGTGCAGCTTGCTGCTGTTGGGTGTGAAGTGCTCGGAGGGTTATTCCTCTCTGGGGCACAGCTTAGGGTCCCTATTGCAGGCCTGACAATGACAGCTACCTTCTAGCTCCCCTTTAAGTACAACTTGGAAAAGGAAGCTGGCTAAGGATGAAAAAGGCAGAGAAAATAGGTGATGATTCCATGTGATCAAAGACAAGGCGGCCACACACGGAACAGCTGCCTCAAAGCACACGCCGGGCGGGCACAGCTGCAGGCCGGCTCTGCGAGTGGCTGGGTGGGCTCCTGCCACTCAGTGCCGCCGGGCGGACCAGGGCTCCGTTCCCTGAGCTGAAGAGACACTTCTGATTTAGGCTGACAGTCAAGCATTGAGAGAATCCATGGAAAATTCACAACTGCCTCTTGGCTGAGTAACCGCATTCAAAGTCCGCAGTGGGACTTGACACAATCACACCCAGGCATTATCACTCTGATAAATAAGATCCAGCTTATCTTTATTTATTTATTTATTTTTGTTTTTAATCCTCACCAGAGGATATTTTTCCATTGATTTTTAGGGAGAGTGGAAGAGAGAGGGAAAGACAGAGAGAAACATCGATGTGAGAGAAACTCATCGATTGGTTGCCTCCTACACAAGCCCTGACCAGGGCCTGGGCCGGGGAGGAGCCTGCAACCAAGGTACATGCCCTTGGCCAGAATTGAACCTGGGACCCTTTGGTCCACAGGCCGACGCTCTATCCACTGAGCCAAACTGGCTGGGGCCAGCTTATCTTCCTGACTGCTCTCTGCCAACAGGTATTTCTGCACGTCTATAAAGGACTGCTTTTCCATGGCCGATGCAGAATGGATCCGAGACTTCCCAAACCAGTTCAAAAGCACCTTGAAGCTGGCCGCCTTGCACCCAGCAATCCCCTTGCAGGTGTGCATCGGAGAGAAACTTACAGTTACACAAGGGATGTGTGCAGAGCAGTTCCTGCAACAGCTGCTGTAATCATGGCTGCAGTAGGAGGAAACATCTAGAATGGCCATCAGTAGAAGAGACTACATCACTCAACAGGCACCCACAGGGCACCCACCCCTGCCAGGCACCGCTCGGGCGCCTGGGTCACGTTAGTAGGAAAGTGGAAACAGACACAAGGCCCCCTCAGAGCTTGCGTCCTAAGGGGGAGAGAGACAGCGGAAGTCCCACACTGGGTGGGAAATGATGCGATGCTAAGAAGGCGATGAGCTCTACGTCCAAAGAAGACAACAACAGACCCGCGTGAGGAGGAGAGCAGGCGGGACCGTTTGCAGTGAGTATGGTAAGGAATCCTGTTCAGGTCCCACCACCTCCCCACCTGAAGCATCTGCCGTCACTGCTGCAGCCCTGCTCCCCAAACCCTATACGGCTTGACTCCCCCTTTCTGTCCACGCGGTGGGGCCTCTCCCTGCAGGAGGTTGGTGTCCTCGATAGACTTCCTGGCGGGCATTTGGGAGAACGGACGCGGGATGTGTGACAGACGGTAACCGAACATGAAAAATACTGCAACAGAGCATTAAAAACACTTGACACTTTTCTCAATTTTATGTTGCTATGATGTCAAAACAATTTTAAAAATTAGAAAATTATTCTCGGTGTGTATATTCCCGCGACGTTGGCTAGCCTGCATATTGCATAAAACTCTCCCTTTGTAATTGGCCTATGTTTTGAGTGATTCTTACTCGAAATTTCTAGAGGGTGGCACTTTCATCAGCCACGTACGTGGCTCAGGTGACACGTTTAATTCGGGTGGTCCACACAGGAGCGACCCCTCAGGGCGTGAGGGTCTCGGGGCAGAAGGTGACCCCAGACCATGGCTCTCTCGTCGTTGCTCTCAAAAGCTCATCTTGATTGAAACGAGAGGAGAAAAATGGAAAGGAATGGAGGTGATCTGAATACATTTTGAGTGAAGTTAACATGGTTTCCCATGGACTGTGGTGGTGGCCGGTTCCCTCAAATGCGCACGTCAATGCCCAGGTAACATAATGGGGGAAAGGAACCCGTGGGACTGTGACCCCCGAGTGGGTCCCATCAAAAAGGACTCACCCCACAGACATCGCGTCAGATGAAGTTCTGTTGGACCGGGTGCAGGGGGTCGGCGGGCGACTGAGTCATACAGTGACATCAGTGAGGGGTCTTCTGAGTAGAAGCCCCCGAGCCCCACACAACCTGTGCGCACACTCGCTTAAGGACACGCCTGCCAATGAGCTGGACACGCGCGGTCCGCGTTTCCGCGTCCTGCTCTTTGCCATGGAATGTGTTCTTTAACACG